ACAGTGTAGTCATTTAAGAAAGCCATACAAGAGATTCCTTCTTCTTCAGTTGCCTCAACATTTTTTGTGAAATATCTACTATGACAAGATGTGGTCTTTCAGAATACAGAAATGTCAAGTTTTTTTTTTTTTTTTTTATGGACTGAATAGGCTTTTGATTTCACTTGTGCAGCCCTTGTGCTTATGCATGACCAGTTATCGTTGCTACAGATGCTCAGATAGAAAAGATCATACAAGCGCTTATGACTAACACTCTTACAGCCATCTAACAGTATTAATTTACCCTGACATGTGAAAGCAGGCAAAAGCACAGCACACCAGGCACATACCAATGACAGACTTCAAAGGCACTTGGCGTATGTAACCTTGATCCAGGTCAGTGTGCGCGAGCTGCCCTCAATCACACGCCCACACGAGGCTCGAGAAATGAGGTCCAACTGACCCCTTGCTGCGCTGCTCCAACCTGTTCCATTAACATCAGCATCAGAAAGCACCGTGCGCCACTTGGTAATCAGCAGTAGCCATATTTTTGGGTCTATTTTCACCAAAGCGAAAAATCAGCGTCTCTGTTGATCGTTTCCTTGGTAAACACTTGAAACTACAGCAAATAATGATCTTTTAGACCTACTTTTTGTTCTCTGGCTTTTGCATGGGGGCAATGCAATTTTCATTTGATTACAGGTAAAAGTATGCTTCATTTTTTACTTACAGCTTTTTATTAAGTCTTAATTAAATTAATTTAGTTATACAGTGTATTTAATACAAATATAATGTTTCAATAAATTATTCTCAGCAGTAAAGCTGCAATGATGACATTTAGGATAGATGCGGAAGGGCATTGTCATATTAAGCATATTATTGGCATGGAAGTGTATTTTTGTCTTCTTTTATCTTAAAAATTGCATTGCTATGGTTTAGTTTATTTTAGATCCAGTGAAATATTGTTTGTATTGTTTCATTTATTATATAGTGACAACAAACTAACTTGAGGGCTTTAAAAGCAACCAGCTTGTTGCACGATTGTCAAACAATTTAGCATAGCAGACAGTAGGTTCAACACCTTCTGCATGATGTAAGAGATAAGGTATTTCACACTTTAAGCTTCAACACGTTTGCATCACAACGAGAGAACAATATGAAAGTAAGTAGCGGTAATTGCCTTGAGTTATTTTAAAAATTATTTTATTGGCTCACTGCACACAGCGCTGTCAGCCCTGGACGATTATTTGTGTTACAGCATCAGAGGCTGAGCACATCTCCAGTGGCGTCCCAATCCGACCAGTGGATTCAATTTGCTGTAGTGTGATCTAATCTTAGTCCTATGGGGTGATAAACCGGGCTGCTAGTGCTGCTTTGCCCTATATTTACTGGAGGTAAGAGGAATAATGTAAAGCAATAAGTGAGGTTGGCAGATAGTTGTCACTCCGGCGGTGGTGTTGTGTGCAGGGGTTATCCAGGAATGACCTTGGGCTCGTGTAAAAGTGAAACCTCCAAGGATTATTTATACACTGACATACAGGGTTAGGAGTTCAAGCAAACAGCAGGAGACATGCCCCTCATCCAGACACAAGGCAGGGATTTTGTGAGCAAAGACCGTGCCGAATTCATAATGATTTATGAGTTTCCATTCCATTCTTTGAAGGATTTTCTGCATATTTATAAAAAACAACAACAACAAATATCTAAGATTAAACAAATTTTCAAACACAAAAAATGAATTATTCAATACAATCCATTAAAATAGTGCCTCGCTCTCAAAACAGTTTAGTTTGGATGTGTGTATTCTGTCACATTTTTAGATCTGCTTTTTCAGACAGACTTTCTATTCAGACAACCAAATGTATGTAAAAAAAACATACCCCAGCTTTAAATGCACAAAGTTTGAAGAATGAGTGCACATTTGATTGACAGGTAATCTATTATGCTGTGTTTGTGCATTGTCCCTGTTTTTATGTGCCTTTGAGCAATTTTTCCATCAAATGTTTTAACAGTCATAGCTCTATTTTCTATTTTCTAAGTTATACTACCTTGCAACAATACAGTATAAATTAATTGCAAACTTACTACTGATCAAGTCATATAGCCTACATTTCAAAATACTGCTACTACATTGCTAATAAATATGCTACGAGCAATAAATAGTTCTTACAGTTTTCTAGCGTCTTGCAGCCCTCATCATTTCCATCAATACAGACAAATGGAAAGTATAGTGAGACTGTTCTAAGGGACAGTGGATCGTTCCGTGATGAAGAAGCAGCGGTGGCGTCTGGGCTGAGTGTGTGGATTGTTGTGAATGTAGATATTAATCAGTGTTTGGTGTTAGACAGCTGCCACCCTGGAGCCCACAGTCGGGTGTCAAGTCCCCATCACGGAGCACCGAGGATAGGGATACTCATCTTGGGGAAAGTGCCTCCCAGAGCAGCAGGCAGTTCACGGCTCATGTTTTGGCAGATGCCCTTGTCAAAAACATCTCCTAATGCAAGCTGCTGGTGTTAAAGTCATCTCCTGTGCGAGTTTTGACACAGGCAGCAGATGTGCGGTGGAAGCAGCTTTTGTGATGTACAGTATGTGGCCTCACGGGAGTCTATTCTTCAGCTGTGGTTAAAGGTGAAGCGGCGCTGTATAGTCTAATGTGGGGTTATAGAGCAATCTGAGGTCATATTACACAGATTATAATACAAAACCTACATCTGAGAATCAATCACGTCGTTATTTTGTCCACTGTGCAGTAAACATGGTGCTTTAAATTTAAGCAGTATGGACATTTTTTAAAACACAATCCAGGAAAAAAAAAAATTTAATAGATATAATTTAGGCCTGAATATGCTGCAAAATACTGGAGAAAGTATAAACCTAAACTAAAATCATATTCTAGATAATGACTAATACAGGGAATTAAGCATTGTTCTTAAATCAGGTATTGTTGTAATACTGTGTCTTGGGAACCATTTAAAATCTACCTTTTATTCCCTCACACATTTATTATTGATGTTCCTTCAATATTATGAATGTGTGATAGAAAAAAAATGAGTTGTGGGAAGAACAGTTGATAACACGAGTACATTTCACTGCCAGAGTGCTGGAGGAACCGGAAGCGGAGTTGATAGTGTTCGCTGAGGGCCAAACATTAATTTAGCTGAGCTTTATGACCACAGCCTGATCGATAGCCTGTCTATAAGGAGAGGAGCCTTGGGTCTCCACTTAATTGTTCTGTGCACTTCTCATCATTTCAGACATTTGAAAGTCTTTCTGCTCACAGTTTTCTGCATGAGTGAAGGTCTGTAGAGATAGAGTCAGTCTGTTTTTTCATACGCTTTAAAATATACTGCTTACTGTGAATGAAGGTGGGTTGTTAATCCCATAAAATAACAATATATATAAAAAAATTATAAGAAAAAAGTATCTGACAAAGGCATTGTGGCAAAAGCGTATTACAATAAAAGAATGAAAAAATAAGACATATGAAACTTGTGAGCGTAATGGTTTTCTAAAACTTTGCAAAATGCCTTCAGGTTAACATTGTAAAAGCCAATTTTGAAAAGGCTTTCCAAAAATGAAATATTTAGTGTTCAGTGTATTCCAATGCTCATGCTGTTGCCAAATCACAGGCCTAACTGGGACCATCATAAAACAAACCACCCAGGTGTATCTGAATATGAGACAAAGCGACTTCTCCAAACATAATTCACAATTCAGTTTGCATTATTGTTATTCAAATGTGTGAGAGCTTTTCATCAGTTCAAAGGCCTTTTGATGAACAAAAGCACCTGATATGTGCTCCATAACTCGGCCTCAGAGGAGTGCCTCACACAGCCCATTGTTTGGAGAAGAAGTTAATTAACAACATTAGGGACCAGTGGCTCACACAGGTTTATCTGTGCGACACGCCGAGCCACAGTCATGCTGATGTGATAATTACAGCAGAGTTTGAAGCATCTTCCCGCATGTAATTTATGAAGGCAGTCTTGCAGATGAATTCAGGTTTAAAGGTGTGCTCGACAAGAAGATATTGGAATTTTTAGACGATTGTGATCAAAATCCAAGCAAAGACCTAATAGAAGCAAATAGCTGATGTAATTTGATGCTTCCAACCAACGAGTGTAGCAAGTAACGAAAGTATCATTTTGATTTAACAGAGTCTTTAGGTGTTTTCATACAGCCGACCCAGAGCTTAAGCCCAGTGAGTTGTTGTGTCGGCTTTTCACAGTGGGGAAGACTGCCACGTGTCAACAAACTTCCAACTGTCTTTCAAAGTCACCGCGTGGGTACCAGGATCAGAGGGAATCGCATTATAATAGACTGCAGCACGTTTACCATCCAAGGGGAGCAATACACACTTTCCAACATATTCTTTTATAAGGACACATTTTGAGCTAAAAGAGCCGTGCGCGCAATAGCCCAAACTTTGATGGTAAGAGCTTCACCTAAACGCAGCTACTCGGCTTGTTACGCTGTCATTATGCAAGTAAAGTCTTGTCCTTATGACTTTTGTATAATTTTATGAAATTTTTCACCTGCCCCAAATGTAAGCAAAACAGTTAGATGTTTTTTTTTGTCAAATTTCCTGATATAAGGTGTAGGGTCCGAGGAGAGTCTAGTCGTTCCGATACAACGGCCCATGTTGCCCAATCTAAAAGGAAAAGGCACTCGAGAAATGTTGTTTAGAAAGCCTTTGGACAAAGTGAAAATGCTGTGGTATTTTATAAAGAGCACATCCCTGAAGGAATTAATGGCCCACGTGCAGGGAGCTTAAAATTCTTAATGATCATTTTTGCAATAAAGTTTAGCTTGTGTGACCTTTCTCCAACATAAACCTTTTGAAATCCAAAATGCTCTTGTAGCAGCTTCCTCTATTGGATAAAGAATTCACATGAAATACCTGTGTTTGTGCCATTTCAGATGCATTGTGGGTGCAGAGCATTAACAGGGGTGTGTGTGGTGCAGATGGACACAACAAACAGAACAATGGGACAGAAAAGTAGAATAAAAGGATGACTAACCTAACCCACCTGAGCTTGGCTCACAGGGATCTATGTCCTCATCATCACTGGGACACTCTGCCGAGGCCACCAACAGGTCGTCTGTCGTCTGAAAGAGAAAACACACACATGAGCTACTCTCACATAATACAGCACCGCTCCTGCTGATGTGCAGGATCTGACTCCAAGAACCAACTGCAGGCATCAGCTGTGATATGCAGGAGAAAAAATATGTTCATGGGGCAATTCAAATGCATGAAAATCCACTTCAAATTGTCTTTTTGATATAATCACATTGTTATTGACATGAATTAATTTCCCAGTCAACATTTGTGTCCATTTGTCACATTTCACAACTTATCAATAGTTACAGAGAGCACTAGACATTATACCTCTTGTTTCCAGCGGGTCAGGTGAAAAGAGGGGTTTATCTGTGAAATACAGCAGCTGCAAAACTGTCCAGGCAACACCATTTTTTACAAGAACAAGATCCGATTAAGGAAGAACAAGTCAGGCAAAAGTTCACAGTGCAATTGTCAAGTCGCATGCTCAATTTGTGCCTCAGCGTGTGTCAGAGCAGCGCCCTTCAAGAGGCTGTTTAGAGCCATCAGACACAGCATTGACATTTAGAGGACAAGCAGGAGAGATGAGAAACAGACCACTGTAGGGAACATGTTAGATTATCAAACAATAAAGCTTTACCATTTCACAGTTTTCAGCCTTGGTGCTCTATATTATAGACTTTATGCAACTAAAACTCCTCCACTTACTAAACAATATGCACGCCATGGATTCAAGATTCAAGCCCCAGAATGCATGTCAAAATGAAAAAATCTTAGAAAATATTCATTCATCTCTGTACTTCCACTTAAACTGTGAAAATATGATATAGATTCATCAAATTAAAAAGTGACATTTGTTTCACTGTTGATGATCATTGCTTGTTTCCATTGTTTATTACTGCAAAAAACAACTATTTTATAAAATGATTTATTGTTTTTCACAAGCTTTGAGCAAACAAAAAAAGGCTTAATATAAAAGCTTGTTGATACTATATTGCTTCAAGTTTATCTATTTTCTTTTAGGTTTTCTTTGAGTAGAGACAAATCAAGAAAACAGACAAAATGTCACCAAAGCTAATTTGCAACACAAGCCATAAAATAGATCCACGGCATGCTTTGCGTCTATGCCCAATCCAGATAATGATTATTAGTAATACAAAGATTGACAATAATGGACTATCATCTACAATAAATGTGTCCAACTTCTGTACACTCTATGATAATAGCTAGAGTCTAAAATATTCAAGCATGGTCTAAAAGAACAAGGTTGAATACTGAGAATGGGAGAAATGTTACAATAGTCTTCTATGTAGTGATAGTTATTTGAGCCTTTGTGTGTGAATGGGAAAGGGCAAACAAGGCACTGAGAAATCCACTGTAAAGCATTTGAGTGCACTGTTCTGTGTAGTTTTGCCTCAGGCCATTTGATCAGCTCAGCGTAAAAAGGTCATATCATTTAAGAACAGCCGACAATTTGGGGCCAGAGTACAAATTCTGTGAAAGAAGGTCCAGGTCCAAGCAACAAGACAGATACGACAAGTCTGCACACAGAAGTACAAATAGTGTATGAACGTCCAAGATGGTGAACTATTATAGCTAGAACCAAATCCCTCGTTTGTTAAATGTGTTAACTGACATATAATAATAATGAATCATCTGTTCTAATAATGATCTGCCTTTATATCTTCTGGGAAATGTGACAGTTTTGCCTTGAATCTTTCACAATTAACACAGTTATCCGCCATGAGTTCATCATGCATTTATGTACCAGACTCAAACATACCTTGAAAAGCCTATGCAAGGTCACATTTCTGACTTAATGGCTCGAAAGTTATAATGAGACAAACACATTCTTTAAAATCTCACAGCAAACAAGCCATTTCCTGTGAGAAGCAGCTGTGGGAGATTGAAGGACTTTTACTGCTTTTATTTTTTGTGTGTTTTGCTGTGTTGTGTTTTTATTGCATGCATTTTAAGCAGTTCTTTGGACATTTCCCTTAATCACCCACACCTGTGTTTAATCATCAAGACCTTTTAGTTGGGGGCGGGCACTACAGCAGGAGGAAGAGACAGAGAGAAGCGGAGAGGAGGAGGCCACGGGACCGGGCCAAGGACGAGGACCGCCAGCCAGAGACCACGGGGGACTGAGGCCGGCGGGGGGAGCGGCACCGGTGAGGGGGCGCGGATTGATAGCGCATGAAGGCGCGTGCGCGCCCGGGCTAGGCCCACGGACAACCGGGATGTGCCGGCTCTCCCCCACGGGTGCCCGGTGGCGACCCGTGGTCGGCGAGAGGCTGGCGGGACTGCGGCCCGGTCCCGGGACAGAGGAGAGGAGCGGAGGCCAGCGGGGACGGACGAGTGACTTTGGGTTTTTATCATCTTTTAATGGATCTTTTTGTAAATATTTTATTAAATTTTATCCCCTTTTTACCCCTTCTGCTTTTTATTGATCACACCCCCTCAACAGACACTTTTAACCTGTGACACAGCCATATGCACTGACACACGGGTCCAGTTAGTTCAGCTGTGCATTTGAGATACGTAAATAAACAAGATCATATATTTTTTTGCAGTATTCTTTTATAATAGTCATGTGCCTTGTATTGAGAATCCATTATGTGAATTTCCTCTAAACAAGCAGGAATGAATAGGTACGGCCTGAGGTTAATGCAATGAGGATGGTTATAGGTTAATTTAATTGTGCCTCTGCATTTCTTCCCCGGCTGTGCATCCAAACAAAGTTGGATTATCTCTAGACTCATATAGGGAAATTAAACTTGACGTCACTTGGCCTGCACATCCATTTGGCTGCTTATAATGTGATTCAGCCGCAAGTGTAACATCATTTGGACATTCTGAACACGCGTCGTCTTTTTCATAATAGACCTGGAAATGATAGATCAAAGCCATTAAGGGACTTTGTAGTGGTGGCGAACAGGGCTGTGTGGTTTTATTGGTGCGTTTGTGTATGGGGAGCTGGAGAGCAGGGTCCAAATGTAGATTTAATTTGCCAAGCGCGATTCTGATATACAGTGTCGGCCGTCCAGATGGCAAAAGCGAGCGCATCCTGGAGTGCCACATCCATCACTCCGGCAACGTGATTTGTTTTTCCTGGCGGGAGATCTTGACACCCGGCACTCACAGGCAGAGCAACCAGCCAATCAATATGCTCCGTTTCTTACACAGCTCCTAAACCATACTTGTCTATACCATACTATAGTAGAGACCGCACGGCCATATCACTCGCTCCCCCGTCACATGTGCCCTTCACATTTATTTGTGAGTGTGGCGGCGGCAGTGGTGGGATGTGCAGGTATGAGATGTAGGTTAAGTCCCTTAGGGTTGACATGGCGGAGGTGTGCGCCAATTCAAATCACACAGCTGCATGATTGAGTCAATGTCAGGGATGAATATATTTGGATTGGCCTCATTGGCAATTTGTCCAAGTCAAATGGAAGAAAGGCAAAGTGGAGCATTGAACAAATTAATCGGTTGAGGTGAGGTAAAAAAACAAAAACAAACTGTAAACCGCTTTGTGACTCAGGTCTGTGAAAGGCGGTATATAAATAAAGATTACTTACTTACTCATAACATCACAAAACCTTATATTGTCTGGTATAGAAGAACCCAATACTTTTAGTTACATAATGTATTTCTAATGAGTGGACACAAGTCATATTTAACCCACTCCACATTGAATCTAAGTGTGACCTTTGGACCTGAAACACCTCTGTATATCTAATGAATGAATAATGTGCTGTGTTATGGTAGTATAAGCCCAACAATCTAAACTAAAATGAATTCTCATGTGGCTGAGTGCCTCTACCTACCAGGATTATTGTGTAGGTCAACTATTTGATGTGGTCATGACCTGGTCCAATCCAATAACATTACCCATTCATGGTGGTCCCCGTCGTCTGGTGACTTCTTCTTCAGCCGTAACAATTCATTGTAGGATATATGCTGGGCTTACCATGCAATTTGGCTTCTGTGATAAGAGCTGACAGGCATGTGGACCGAGATGTCACAGAAAGGACACCAAAATGTGCAGATGTTTGGTAAACAACACGCTGTCTGAAGAGATCGATTTGATCTTTGCTTTAAATGGGACTTACGACGAAGCTCTGAATGTTGGGGAAAACATTATAGTCCAACCATTACTGTCCAACAATATTCTTAGCTAGTGCACATATTGGGAAATGCAGAGATAAAGAATAGATACTTAATAATCAGGTTTGAATTGTAAGTGGTATTTTTTTTCAATCATAAAATTAGTTCCAAACCCTCAAAACTGTTTGGGTCTATTGTAGGGATCCACCGATACCGATACTGGTATTGAGTATGGGGTCGATACTGTAGGCTTGTACTCATACACATGGACCCGATTCCAGCAACCGACAGCTGTGCGGCTGTCATTAACATTGTACATTTCTGTTGTAATAGTTTTATGAATTTCCAGGGATAACACAATGCAGTGCTAGTATTGATATTTTGTATCGGCAAATACTCAATCTAAGGTACTCATACTCGTATCGATATTGGTGCATCCCTAATCTATTGTATTGTATGTATCACCCCCTTGTCACATCTTAAGATCAGATTTTTCAGATAGAAAAGTGACAAAGAGAAGACCACCGTCACTCAGTCAATCAGCTCTGAGTTCTAAGTGTGGAACAATGACTCACAATTATGCAATAGTCTGTCTGTCTGTCTTTGAATAAGATTTGTTCACAACATATCACATTTGTAAGACTCTTTCTGTTGGTGCAAACATGTATTGTAAAGAAACCAAGTTTAATCAAAAGTTGGATATGGTAATTTGTTATTGTCACTTAAAAGCAGCTATAGTACAACTCCTCAAAGTTAAATAATTGCCTGTGTTTTTCTCCATAAATACTGTCTGTTTTTAGGGCTTCATTAGCCCAGTGGAGTTAGTGATGCAGCAGACATCTTGCCCACAGGAAAGATGCTCGGATAGAGAGGAGTATAAACATGATGTACCTGCAGTTCATTTTATGGAGGTACTTGGAAAATGCTAAGAGCAAAG